TAATACACATACGTGTTGTATTTTATATGTATAAACTTGCGAACGGAATGCCCAGGGTATCGATTGCAATGAAATCCCAACTTAATGGAATTCACAGGGGAAAACGGCACTGACATCAACAGACCATTAATATCAACGGGAAATCAAATAAACTTGCGAACGGAATGCCCATGGTATCGATTGCAATGAAATCCCAACTTAATGGAATTCACAGGGGAAAACGGCACTGACATCAACAGACCATTAATATCAAGCGGGAAATCAAAATGAAGTCAAATTTACCGTCAGTGGATGCGTTGAGTTAGGCAGCTGGCTGATCAGATTCACTAGCTCCGTGTAGACAGAGTTTTCACCCGATGAGTATCGCTTGTGTAGGTTGAGCTGCACAAAATACGACGACAGGTGAATAACAGTAGTCAGAAAAGCAATCAAAAATGGAGCTCCATGCACCTTTTTACAGGTGAGTCTCAATGCCTTGACCGAAAGCAAACTGACATACCAGATGATCCATATCGAGACGAGAATTACGGGCGGCCAAATTAGCCCTCATTTGTTCAACGAACGCCTGATCAGTTAGCTGTCCGAGAATGAAAGGAGGTTGAAACGGTCGCAGTGCACCACGGCCAGAAGTGAGTGACCGTACAAACGGTGGCGAATAATAGCTCCATCTTCGTACTCCTAGGCGACACAGAAAGTTAATGGAGCACTCCATCGTGGAACCAACTCCAGAGGGTAGCTACATACCAGTGGTAAAAAGAATCTGTAAAAGGAAACATATTCAGTGTGATTCTGTGGCACTCCAACCAAAATTGTGGGGTCCAGCAAACTCCTGAAAATCGAAATATGTACCGGAGTGCAAGCAAACAGCTGATGAAGAAGTAGCCGAATGCTCTTCTACCTAACACCGTTGACATTCGAAAATCCAAAGGTGGTATTCCCGTGAGCTATTCTATTCATGATTATGTTGCTACGGCATGAAACCGAGCTGATCTGAACCGAACAGAGAAGAACAAATGCGGTTATGAATGAAGAAACTCAGATGGTCATGTGCTAGGGCTCATCAGCGTCCCACTTAGCAAAGTTTACCGTACCAAGCGATCACCAGTTCAGTAAGGGGACCGAACGGACAAACTGAGATGATGACAGTTCTTGAAGGTGAATTGGCGATCCTCATCACTTAAATCCAGTTCATGATGATCGTATCTCGTGAGGACCTCGTAGGACACACTGAAGTGAGTGCATAAACACATCGCTTTGTGAGGAATGTAGGCTGGATCTGCCGACAGCCCTTATAAATGAGCTTTTCACGTGATCATGAACCTGAATGATTAAGTATCAAACCACTGAAGATCATGCAATTACAAATCAGCGAGGTGGCCATTCAAAAACCGTTTCGCACGATTATCGTGCTAGCGTCCAATCGCACAACGCTCAATCAACGTTCTTTTTGCTGTTGTATTTTCAGAAAGTATTCAGACAGTTGAGTCAGCGGCATATTACAGTTACCATTCGGGCCTGTTAAGTTATGCAACAAAAGTTATGCTCTCTAACGAAAAACGCGGTTGCGATATTAAATAAAAATGCTCAGTTCACCTATTGTTTTATAACAAACAAAAGCTGACGATTTAAAGAGCGAGTTAGCTGAAGAAAGCGGAATACGTTACAAGCTCTCCGTGGTCGCTTGGTTCTTCACGACCATTCGTCTTTTTATTCGTAGAGCTGGTATTTGAAGGGCCATGAAGAAGGGCTCACAAGATTCAAACATGACACTTAAAAAAGATGGGAGGGATTCGGTTTGTGGCGTTGCGCAATCTAAGCGCCGTTCACTTGTCACGTCCACACAGAGACAACAGATCCATAAACTGATTTTCAATCGTTACGTTCATTTGGTTCTGAATAACTGTTCCCAGTTGGGAACTGTTCAGTTGACTTACTGAGCTGAGAAAACCGGTTAAGCAGGTGACGGCAACTGCAACCACCAAGCAACTTACGAGAAGCAGTAGGGTCGGATTACTACCAGGCTGCCCAATGAAAGGCAGTTTATGACGAACTTGCAACCCAGGTCTTAAAAGTCCAGGGCAATGTAACAGTGCAGCAGTTTGGCGGATGAGCCATTCGTATCTGCGCCTAGTCTGCAACAGGAAACCTATTAGGATGAATGCCTTACTTTTGAAATAGGTAAGATGTACGGGAAATAACGAAAATTCGTCCTGAGTTAAAGAGATTGTGGGACTGATGAGAAAAAGACCAGTGGCTTTTAGCCTGATAAAGAATTTTGAATCGTCGGCTGAGTGCACTAGAAAGGGAGTCAGAGCGAACTCACACAGCTCTTACAAACTTCACTGAAGTGCGAGTATGGTTTGCAACATGTTTTCTTCGCATCAAACAGACCAACCGAGAACGTATAAACACCGCATTTATATGGCGCTAACTCATATCGAGTTACTCGTTAGGTTCCTTTTATTTAAAAAGGAGGTAGATGTTCGTATATGCGGTTAGCTGCTCGTATAAAGAATAGTACCGGATGCCGGAATCCGGTTTATCCTACAATGTTCACCACTAACCAGTCGGGAATATACATCTGGGTTTATGTGCCCTATACATCCCAGTGTGCCTTAGCAGAAAACTCACTGGGTTTTTCAGCAGACAAACTGCCAGCCTTGATTATCGGCTCAATGCATTACGCTTGTACACCAATGCCTGGAATAATTGGAAGTTCGGCGGCGAAGAATTCCGACCGTACACAAAAGTGCCGTGGCCTGGTGGAAATCTAGTGAACTGATTATCACTATCGTTCATTCGGGCTAACACGTAAGTGCTACCTCTCCACCGCACTCCATGTGGAACTACCTCAAAAGCTCAGCCTCACCCAACACCATGGTATTGGTACACACAATCGCTTCCAGGTAGGCTTTGTAGCGGACTGTGAAATTTTACTTGTAACTATGTTTTCCAAGCGTCGTCTCAGAAATATCCGGCCTAGAAACCGTTAGTACGATTAGCAGAACAGCCAGCACAAACGAATATGAAATATCAAACCCATAGCAACAGGAAGAAGTCAAGGAATCCAATCTTATAAAAGCCAAGTATATTACACGACAAGTTTACATGTCGAATGAACTGGCGAGGCAGTGGAACCAGTTCCAGAAGGTAGCTTCAGTTCATGACTCAAGAGCCATTTCCACTCTCTCCAAAAGTTGTTGCACTTCGTTTCGCAGGTTTTGAATCTCACCTTGAACTTTTTCGTCTAGGGTGGAATCTTCAGTAATCTAAAAAGGATGGGAAAGCGTTTGAGAAGAGCTAAACAAAATGAGAAAGGGGGCAGAAAAGAGGGATGTGGTCTCTAATTGGTCACTACTAGGGAGATGAAGTTACACCAGGTATGGGATTTCGATGTTGAGTATATAGGTGAGAGCCACAAGCCTGTGGTAACGCATTGAAAAACAGTCAGGTCACGAAGGATTTTGACCATATGCAATACAAACAAGAAGATCTAATGAAATGTCTTGCTACAGATCACCTTAAAATGTAACGAACAAACGAACCTCGACGGTAACCCGAAGACGGGACGTCTTGTTTCTTGTTCCTTAAAGGTGATTTAGCCATCAAAACCACCAGCAAACGCTTAGTATGGGTAGTTGCGAGATATCCTAACACTGGCGACCTTCCGTTGGCATCCAGAAGCTCGTAACCCATTCAAACGGACAACAAACGGCGTTTGTTTACACCAACCAGTTTCACGGATATTTGTGCATTCAGATGTGACTGTGATATACTAACCGTCTGTCAGGTGGCTGGTGGGAAAACAAAAAAAGAAGGAGCACATTCCACTGTGGCTTACTTAAGGAAAATCGAGACTAGCTGGAGTGACACCACGACAAAACCGGTTGACTCTGGTCATGAATAAGCTCTAAAGAGTGACTGTAGACTGTCAACCATCGAGGTGATTTTCATCAGAATTTTGACCCCAAGATCGTGTTTATTAAGCATCCATTCAACTGCGTAGAGAAACTAAAAACAGATTTCGATTACTTGAAGGGACAATACTCGAAAGTTGCTGAAAACTCGCCAAGAAAATGTACTGAGACATCGCAAATATCATACCAACTGAAACGTGAGGCGGTCTTTGCAAAGCACATTCAGCTGAACAATACCATAAAAGAAAGATTCAGCTGGAATCCGAATTGGCTGAAACCGAATTGGTATGAAAATTAGCGTAGCCAGTCAGCTCTTGATTACCTTTAGCGCTCCTTTTACGGAAATCAAACTCAGACGGAGAGAGGCGAAACTGGACTTGATAAAAGTACTTTGACCAACGTGGTCTAAATCTGCTGAGGAATCTGAGGGTCCATCTCCGTTCGGGGTGATGGAATCGGCCTCGAACAACGTCTTGGCCCATAGCTGCAGTCCTTGAACAACTTCGAGGCGCTTATCCGGCGACTGCTGCCAACTCCCTTCTTTAGGTTGTACACGGCACCGGTGGGCAGTTTGGAGGTTCTTCACGGCCTGCGACAACCAACGGAAAAGTGAATGAAAGGACATAGAGGAAATACAGAGGGATATTGTGAGTACCCTTCCAACATTCCTCATTCAAACAGTGGGTTCAGAGTTGAAAGAAACCCTCTTACCTTTTGGAAAGTGGTAGTCTTTGGCGATGGCTTTTCTCCAAGCAACAGGAGTGCATACTCTTTCCATATTTCCGCATTGGTTGAGGTCTGGAGCAGAAAAATACGGATATCATAACCCACATTGTGAAGTTTCGATGCAGAAAAGCGGAGATATGTGATATGCAACATTAGTTGCAGAGTTTCGAGGTCAATGAGATGACTTACCACTGAAGTGACTCGACCGAACAATTCAAGAACTTTCTGGCGGAGTGATCCAGCGGAGGTCCCGCTGGTGCTGGGGACATCGTCGACAACGGCTTTGGAGAGGACACCAAGGATTTCAGCATCAGAATATTTCTCTCGTAGGTCTAACAACCGATGACACGCCTGGATTGTGTCCCCGAACGCGCCAACGTCAGCGCTAATCTGTGGCGAGATATATGAAGGATAAACTCCTGAAACCGATACAGACGGTCCAGCTAACAAGGATATCACATGAACGCCCGAAGATGAATAAATTGAGGACATCACTTGCCATCAGCTAAAAAGTAAACGACCGTTACAGGAAACAGCCACACTATATGCTGAACACGGAGCAGTGATGTAAACATGTGAATTTACATTTTAGCTCAATCTGACACAAACATAATAATAACGAGCAGGAGGAAATTGCGATATGGAATCAGTTGTCGTCCCTTTCAGAATTCGATGGCATTTCCGAGTAATTGCACCTCAAAACCACTATTTATCCCTTAACTGTGTTTTATAAGTGTATCGATATGAGTTTGAATACTCATTCTCCAAAACCAACAACTCAGTTTGGATACCCATAGACGCATACCTTTGTGACAAAATACTCCCGTAAGTTTCATTAAGATGGATATCGAGATGATACATTGGCAATACGAAGTATTTTGGTCTCATAACCACTCATTATTGTTAGCTCGCCCAGCTCCTAAGCGCGACTCCATCTAGACCGAGGGATCAAGATGTTATTCAACTCTAGGATTCTGTAAGTTGTCTAAACTCTACGGATGAGTCCCCCTCAGAAGGCGAGAATTACTTGTTTTGCAAGCAGTATGGGAAGAACAACAAGTTGTCGGTACAACTTACGATGGAAATGTTCTCCCAAATGCGCCAATTTTCAAAGTTATGCTTGCACGCCTCTTTTAGCAGTTGCAACGCGACGTCCCTTTACAAAAAGACAGAAAACAGCCGTGAGCAGCTCGCCCAATATAAAATACGAAAATCTGGTTCGATACTCCGGTGGCCTCAAAAACGCTGTTAAGATGACTGCAGCGGAAGTAGATAAGGAGACAATTGGTTTTAAGTCGAAATCTTTTCCAAACTTGTGCACCTAAGTGACGAGTATTAAATGGCGAGTAATCTGGTGTCCGGAACTCGAACAAGTAATCTGGCGATGACAAGTCAAAGCGATAAAAAATTTGTGAACGAGCGGACTGAAGACCGCACTTTATCTACCCCATGAAACTTAGATAATTTATAGAAATGCGTTTCTGGAAATCCGTGTGACGGAATGCCTGAAGTAGATATTTTAAGCAATCCGAAGGAGCTGGTTATGTTTCATAGACAATGCAACGAGATGCAACTACTCAATGCTAGAATGAACAAGAGGATAAGCCGACCAAACACAAATAGGTATGTCTATGACGCATGCGATAAAAGCACTGCTCACTTTTTTCCTCTCAGAACAGCGGCACTTGCGCAATTATTCCAGGCTTCAAAATTCTGCAATTAAACAGACGATCAGTTACACGTCACCTCAACAAAAGACTGTGTAGATGGAAATGCGTGGCAAAACCAGAAAGTTTAGGAGACGAGAGAGGTCAGGCCAGTTGGGAATTCGCAGAGGTTGTTTAAGCTTCCATAAAACAGGAACTGGGTCGACCTTTGTTGGCGAGACCGCGTTGAGATAGCTGGATAGCATATCCCAAACAACATTTTAGTTGGGTCTCTGTCATTGTCTTTCACTGTACCCTTGAAATTCACACAGAATTTGCTCGTTTTGATCTTCCCCCGGTTTAGAGGGTATTAATTGCCTTAGTGACTTGAAACGCCACCGGGCTGCTCAGCCAGATGAACCTCAACCAGCATTCTTCAAAGACCGTGGTGAGTCTCAATGTTCCGCTTTGACTAAATTGTTGAACTTATTTGGAGACGAGAACAAATTCCAGAGGGCTGGATCCAATTCGTCATCGTGTTTTCCATGGAGGAATTTACGGGGACAAATCTGCCAACCATACAGGCAGAGCACACATCTGTCATAATGCATCCACTACGCTCCCTTATAATGTGACGCCTAACTCAGATACTATCATGGATTTCTCATATCTACCGTTGGGACAGCGCCATCTACACCGCCAACCAACGACCACTGTTTTCTTTAACTTCTAAGGGACCTATTCCGTGAACAGAGCGACGCTTTTGAGCGTTTCGGAACGTGGAGAAAAGTCCTCGAATTTTGTGAATACACTTCATGTTAGAGGATTCCATAGTGTCCGAAAATTTATCAACCAATGAGATTCGACAGAATTGAACCCTAGCGCGCTTTTCTCTCAATTTTTCCATTGATACAGCCACAGAATGCACATTCCAAGTGACAGGAAATTTAGGAATCAAAATAACAACTGGAGATACTAGTCGGCTCGAACTGTGCAGATGTATTGTCATTTGATGAGTACCAGCCGCATAATCTACTACAAGTAGAACATCAGAAGTGTTCTTTTGTTTTGACACGTTTTTCGCGCCTGAAGGATTTTCACTACGCTTGTGCCGCTTTCAGATTTCAAGCTAAACAACTTGAGACTGTTGATCGGTTTGCGTATCTTGTAATCTCCATAAGAGACGATTAGTTTGTGGCAGATGAACCCAATGAACGCATGCATCCCAACTTGCATCGCCTTTAGAATGATCAAAAAACGGATTTCGGTGCAGCTGAAGGAGTGTGAATACGAGATAACTGTACTTCCAGTCTTACTTTGTAGTTGTGGAACTTGGCCCCCGATATGAAAATTTAGAATGCCGTCGTAGCATATCAACAGACAGATGGCTGCAACATGTATTTAATGAAGTGACACAGGCACGTACCTATGAGACCTGTACTACGCAGGTCTAACCATCGTTTTCCATTCCGAAGCCTTGCTGGGGAAAGATTTGTGAAGGACAAGCCGTGATATGGCCGATTGAAATCAAAGAGATCGCAAACAAATCAGGTGTTGTGAGATTTAGGACCCACTTGGTTCCCCTTACAAGTAGTCGGAAACTCGACAAGACGTCGGACCTAACCGATCCCAGTGGTGTTCGTGACGTCACCATTGAGCCAAGCTGGTTGGACAAATTGTCTATCGTCGTGTGCTTAGCTCTGGTTGGGCGAGGTTGTCAGAGGACGCTGGGTCAAACCCAGTGTTGATGCATCACTTCGATACTGTGTTCCAAGGTGAAAGTACCTTGCTCCTGATCATTTTCCATAAGGACATTTGAGTTTTTTTTTAAATAAGTTTTGACCCTTCCTATTTCCTTCAATTTGTTACCAAGGCATTATTTCTGTATGGCTTCACGGTAGTTGCGCACCACAGTTCGCTACCGGTGATGATGATAGAACAACGTCCCGTTCGGTGGAGACAGATGATTGTTTGGGTAGGTCTACGAAAAATGATTTACGTGTGTGTAAGGTTAGTGGAGAGTTGAAATTAACGCTGAAAAACGAAAGAGAAAGTACTACACTTACCTCTGGATCCAATTGAACGCACCTGCGGAATGCCGTCTCGGCTTTTGGATAGTTTCTAGCTTGGAGGCAACAACACCCATAGGTAAACCAGAGAGCAACCTGGTGTATAGGAGCAAAAAAATGCGAAAGCTAAGCAGATGATCCACGAAAAGAACGCTACTGCACGTAACACACTATTCATAAGGTTGATGAAAACTCTTCGACACCCATAACCGGTTTCGCCTATCTTGGGGCTCATCAGGTACCTTGAAAATCATATTTACTGACATACGAGGCGGTCATGTGCAGCGCATTCAGTTGAAGACCATCATAAACGAGAAAATCAGCTGGAATAATTTCAGTCTTCCAAAAATGGTGGGCAAATGAGAGTACTTGACGAATGTTATTGCACTTTCAGTGCATACAACAGGATGACTATTCTGATTTCATTATCATCCAGAACGGTTTCGCATGTCGAGATTGGTGTCATTTCCAACCTATCGCAAGTTAGAAATACTAGTCGGTTTTCATAGAGGAAACTATTCACAAGGTTAATGAAAACTCTTCAAAAGCCCACAACAGGTTTCGCCCTTCTTGGAGCTCATTAGGTAGACGCAGTCCCCGAGTTTCCGTCAACCTTATGATCTACTTGAACCCAAATTGCACTGTTTTCGAGAAATACACTCATTTGCAAATCAATCTGGTTTTCACTAATCGGTTTTGATTCGCGCATGACAGATTTAACAACCGACCATGTGTGGAAATGTTGATCTTGGTTACAATCTCGCTTGTTCCTTTCTCGTCTAACTTAAACACGTGCAAAAAACGTATGGAATTTGGTTAATTAAATAATAATAATTGTTCAGCTGCAGTATCCTTTCGGTGCCTAACTGCCATGCCACCCGAAGGTTGCACGAGGGCCGAGATACTGCCAGGTTGCCCAAGCCTAGACAGGGGGAGTCGAGAGGCAGAGGTGGGGTCCGAACCACGGATCTTCCGGTCAGTAAATTCGCACTCTATCCACTTAGTCTGATTGCCCGTGGAACAACAAATCGAGTAAAAAAGCTATCCGTTCTTTCTAGACGTTCAGGAATGCTGCCGGAAAATCAGACAAAACGAGTGTTTCTAATCAGAATATTAGACGATGATGAGAAAGGTAGTGACAGATCTTGTCCAGTCGGTGCTCAGGACGGTAGTACACTATTGCCGTCTCGTAAACACCTTATCCACCAAATAAGCACACAATCCGTTCAAAACCTGGGCGAAACGGTGACGAAGTGTAGGTTCTTGGTTTCCGAAAACAGTCGATTTGGTGGTTAAGGGACATGTAGATTTCACATTCACTTCACCTTCGTTTAAACAGTCTTCCTACTGTCCTGGAACACTTATTCGGGTAAGCCCACACCAAATGGCGGACGCACTGGAATCGAGTCTTGCCCTGATCATAGCTCATCTGTTTGTTGCGTTTTCAAAGGTGTGCGACCCTGTAGAATTTCTGGAAGTATGATACTCCCCACCCTAAGTTGAATCGTTAAAGGTCAGGCTCAACTATGAAGACTAAGGACTTCAAATAACACTACCCAGAGCTGTGAATTGCTACTGAACTACAAATTCAGCGTTGGTTGGCCGGACTACCACTCATTGATGAAGGCTCACAAATACCTACGTAAGAAGTTATCCCATGAGACTAAACTTGTATATTAAGCGGTCCACTCATATTAGAAGAAAGTGAGTAGTATGTAAAATGAAAACATAGCGAAAGATCTGTACGTTATCGGTGAAACCAATGCAAAAACTTGAAAAACTTTCGACAGCACTTCCAAACGCGATGCGCTCTATTCGGAAGTTATAACAATATACCCAGTGTAAAAAATTATCGCCCATAGAAATTTCGCACACATCCTTCTGAGGGCTAGGGAGTTCAGCACACTTGGTCTCTGTACGTGGAATTTGAGAATATCAACCGACATAAGATAAACGAGACGGTGGATTCGAGGCTTTTATATCTCAAGACCATGGAAGCTCTAAAATTGAAAAAATTGCACCGACTAACGCACTCTAGAAGGCAAAAACAACGGAAATGCCGTGTGAGATCGACAAACTAATTTGAATGGCTAATAAGTAGTGGGGGCTAGTGAGAACGAAACAAACCATACGAAATAGGATTATACACAATATACCAGACCAGACAACGCAACTAATCGCACTGAGATACCAACCTGGAGGTTATTGATGCTCAGGGACTTTTCAAAACATTCCATAGCTTTCTCATAATCCTGTGAAAGGAAAACAAAAACAGGAGAAATTTCCAAGACCTGGAGAAGAAGATTGGTCGGTGTTCGCACTTCAGCAGTGCCTTGCCAGTGGGCAACGAAGAAACCACAACTTCCGGTACATTCATGGTAGCTAAGCGAAGAGAAGGAAAGACCATCTATTTCGGTCACAAGATAGCGCCTGAAACCTTAAACTACTCTGAGCTCAGTGACACTTTGACTGAGCGGAGAGCTTGTTCTACATATAACAGCTGACCTAAGCGTCAGTGTTAATCAGTTCATGTGTATGCCCTAGTTTGAAAACGGCTTCGTGAAACTCGAAGCCAAGAATTAGGTAAGAACGCCAGAAAGAAAAAGCCCGCGCGCGAATTCTCATGCATTGAGACTCGAACATAAGACAGACAAAACATGTCAGAAGGGTCAGATTCTCCACTGAGGTGATAATTTAGCAGTATCGAAACAGCTGATAAGAACGCAGATTAACGGAGCATGTAGAGGGTATTTTGGTGGTTTACCTGTGGGATATCACTCCTCGTAAACAACTTCTGCATCTTATTATCCTATTCTGTGGACTACAAAACAAATGGCTCCAATTACAAGACGAAATCTCGGCTGAAACTAACTATTCACTGATACGATGCCGTTAATAAGGTTAGTAGTTCATTGGCAGTTTCGTCCCCTTTTGGGAAAAATAATTCCATTTACGGCATATTCGTTCAACTGAACCATGGGACACATACGGTTCAAAAATATTATGATGAAGAGGTCGGTTTGAGATTCGGTTAGGAACATCTCAGTTTGCATGCGGTTTCTTCTACTTTAGGTATCATAGGCACCATAAAAAGTGGTGCTGTAATCACTTCATTCCCGTCTTGTCGGAGAAGAGTTTATGGCAAACTAGCAAGGAGGGGTTATCGATTCTTGATGACTACGCTATCACAATGAATGCTGTCTAAGCACTTGGTTCTAGTAAAATCAGACGAGGAAGCATTGCACTCGGTCAAATAAGAACTGGCACATGGAACATTTCGCGGTTGATTCGTCAATATAATCGGAAATAACGCCAAGCATCATAGAGATCTTGTGTCAGTGAGTCGATGAGCGAATAAACCATGCTCAGAGGCTATCTTACCTTATCCACATACATAAATACGACTGCTAGACTTCGCATTGCACGAGCAGATCGGCGATCGGATACTTCCCAGGCAGTCAAGTAGTGTTCGCGGTTGTTTGTTACGTCACCGAGGGCACAATAGAGCTCCGGAGACTGATCACCAGCCGCCAGTTGTTCACGAATAACTTCCTCAGCCTGAAAGCATAGATAAAGTTGGACATGAAGCGAAAGGCTACCGTGAGTAGTAAAAACTACCGGTGTATTGATGTCGTCCGGAACACGCTCCTGAGATTAACACACAAAACAGTTTTAGCAACGCATCTCCATGGCCAGCAAAACACCTCAAGAAATACAGCAAGCATTAATATACGACAGAAATAACTAAACATGCCAGACAGATTTTCTACCCTTACTGCTCACAATAAATTTTACCTGGATGTAAGAATAACTGGAAGTTGTTAATAAAGCCTCGAGATACCGAATCCAACTGTTTAGTGGCCTTGATAACCGGAGAAGAGCACCTTCTGTATTCATCAGTAAGTTGGAAACCCTAATTCACAAAAATGAGGAAAAATAAACGTCAGTGTTCCTCACAGAAAGCATATGCCATATACGCGTAGCGTACGTTAGCAGTTTAATCTCTTGGACATACAGCTGACAAACAAGCCAAAACGAACATGCGACGTTACCTCGCAAGATCGACAGAGGTCGAATGGTTATGAACCGAACTTTTGACAGGAATAATTAGGATTAATCATGAGTGGTTTGTAATTAGGATGCCATTGCGAGGACACATTTTTGATGGCAATCGTGCGAGAGTTCCATGAGGTAATCGCCAAGCTCCGTTAATATACAAACAACCAAAAAACTTCCAGGCCTCGTGCAAAGAGTATCGGTAAGCAGAAACAGCATAGTCTAACCGTCTGACAAAAGCAATGGAACAACGGAATGGAAAAGCAATAGCAGGAAGAGAAAACTTACTTTTTCCCGTTTGTTCAAATGTGTGTAGCAGTCAATAATATCGGACCACTGATTCCAGCGCAGAAAGATGTCCAATGCACTTTTAAAACAACCCATCTTCTTTAACAAGCGAGCTTGTTCGGCCTGAACCAAAGAGAGCAAGAACACCAATCACACTGTACAGTTGAATAAAGGTAGAAGGGTGGCTGTTGTTGTCAAAGGATCATACGGAAGCTTCACAAAAGCGTCCACCTTTATGCATATACATTCAATGCCGTAAAAGCATTCACAGAGCGACACCCAGGTATATAAAAACGCAAAACAGCGAAGAAAAGAAATAAGCACTCCATATACAGAATTAACTGGTTTGTCCTACTTGTAATACCCAAACGGAAGGCATACGAGCCAAGAAGAAGTGCTCAATAGCGCGGTCCGCCACAGGTGGATCAGTTCGATCGAACTGGTTAACCAATTCCTGTGAAAAGTACGAAAAGAAACCGAGAATCAGACATGAAACTAGAAGTGTTCGAATAGAAAACTTCATACTCAACACGGGAAGAGAAACAGCGAAAAAGTGGGCGATGAGCCCAAAAAATTCGAGTACATCGATAGAGGGACCACAATTAAGACGCAATTTGCAACCAGATGGCTGAGTATCAGGTGTGAACAAGGTCATACTGGGGACGCAGTTGAAGACACCATTCACTTACTTCCAACTGAGACAGAGCGCGTTCAGATCTTCGCACTGAAGTATGCTCTAGCAGGCTCCGACGGAACAGGGCTTCCGTCGCCAGTGGCCAACAAGAAAAGGGTGCATGGGCTACGGTTGCATCTTTCGAATCCGGATAAGCCTGTTGCAAAATTGTGTTGAGATACACCAAACGTTGTTCGTTGGTAATCTCGTCGTTTGGATAGGCTAAACGATGCAGGTCACTGAGGGGAAAAGTGAAAAGGAAAAAGCTGAACCACATGAAAATACTGGGAGCCTGAGTATGTGGGGAAAAGGAGAGATATTATCCATGAATTATCCATGATTCTCGAGAAGTGATTCACAGTATAACTGAGATTTCGGGACTGGCTGAATCCGTTTTGCAAGTGTGAAGTAAAACGTTGTTCATCCAAAAAAATGTACCGTCACTGGTAAATAAATAATATGCAGCCTACCCAGATAAAGAGGTAAGGCGAAATGCCTAGCCTGTTTGGAACGACAGTACAGACGTCCAAACATATAAGAACAGGAATTATGTAGTTTGACTCGCCAAAATGAAAAGAATTGATTCCCATTGAAGGCTATGATGTCTTGGGGTTTTGGAGACAACAGCTGATTTCAGTCAAAGCCATGTTTGACCAAAAATAATGTCGCTGCACTAGGGGTATTGTAAAAAACGGTTGGAAAGAGGAAATATATGTAGCACCGACACGTCAGTCAGGGCGACGAACGACAAATGGCGACAAAAGTAGTGGAAGTATGTTGTTGGAGCTCACAGGTTACGGTGAGACGTCTTTTATTCTATTCATCGATCTCGTATGCGGGTATGAGCTATATTCGTAACCTCTTCCATCTTGATGGTGGGGGGGGGCGATATCAGGAACATGTGAGATAGGAGATTGGGTGTGTGACAGGTATGGGTTTTGGAGCAAGCGGTAACAAAACCTGTCTCAACAGTCTGAATTGACTGGAAATGAATGGTCGTTCATCAGCATGACACTCCAGCTTCCATAATGGAGCAAACTGATCTTCACTAGGCGTTAAACTTCCACAAGACAAGCGATGAAATATCATTCGGTGAATAGCAGACTGGTCACGGAGGATCAAATGAAGGCAAAAGCCCAAATGCCTTTGTGGGAGAATGGACCGCTTCGAGAAACGTATCACGAAAACAACTGCGTGGTAACATCCTCATGAAGGTTTTGAGGAATTTTCGTACGCCGTGGTGTCCACAACACAAGTGGGAGTTTGCTCCGGTGTCAATCGCGATATTTTGCACACTAAGGCCCTACGGTTATTGCCGACATGGAATAACACCATACGGTATTCAACCGCACTCATAGTTAACTTATGGTTCATATGCTCCCCACAGCAGATGAAACCTTACGGCGACTCACCATTTAGCAATGCCGTCATGGATTATGTACCACTTTGTAGGGGTCTGTTACCAACTGAGGACCCATGACGCCATGGTAGCACTGTCACTTGGGTTCTGTTGATCCGGCTACAGTAGTAACCACGCTGCGGTTCACACCGCTTCATTAGGATTGTGAAGGGTTAAAATTTGCGGCGAGTACGACATTACTAAATGTGACCTCAAGTATGGGTAGGACCGATATCGGTTAGATCATCCTAGCTGAAAATTGTTAAAATCAAAGGCACTTACCAAAGTAACAACACAAGGCTCTGTTCCTCCAAGGTGAGTACGCGGAATTGGTTCTTCACATCCTCGCAAAAGACAACCGTGTTCAACAATGTATCGTCATCAAGTGAGACCAACTAAGCACAACTAGCATTGGCGAAAATTTGAAATTCCAATTACCTTTGGAAGTGCAGGCGCACGGTCTGGAAATGTATACTCCGATTCCACAGAGCGATCAACTTTGATCCACAACTGCGACACGTTGGTACTCTGAAAACGTGTGCACTTAGCAAGGCCGCCTAGAGGAAAACGGAGATGGATAGTCCTAGAAACTTGCACTTACCACTGAACTGAAGCGACAAATGAAGATGCTTGGAGCATCTGGTTGAATACTCATCTGCCATGTTGTAACGGTAGTAGAAAACACTGAGGTAAGATGCAAGAAGATAGAAGGTCGTTAGGTCTTCGCTAGGAATTGAGTCGACTACAGTTATTTCTGATTCCGCTGAAACCAGAAGCTGAGGGTAAAAAAACGTAAAACCCACCTAACTCAAGCAGGTGCTGAAATTCAGCGTCCAGTTGTGCTGACCGCTCTTGGCCAAGTAAGTACTGATGCAGATAGATACATTTGAGAGCTGTGAGTAAATATGGGAATAGCTGGAACACAACGAACAGTTTACACCGTACAATCAAGAAACTTACCAGGTGCCGGGACACCTCACACATTCGAAGTGAGAGACGTTTGCACAGCCAGAATAAACCCAAATGTTTGGCCTTTTTGAACGGAGTTTCGCCCTCGCATACGAGACAAATTAGGGCTTCGGAATCAAGTTTCTTGAGGTTAGCGATATCTTCTTCCTGGTCAGAATGGCCACCGAGAAAATTGGCGCGAATGAAACAATTAAGGAGAACGTCAAGAAAAGCTAGGACGGAAATCGACCTAAAGGGTGCATAATGGATTAATACAAGACACCTACCTTTCCAAAAGAAAATTGCAGAGATCGTCATCACTGGTTTTAGTGACATCGATCTCAGACAAAATTGCCCAGATCTTTGGTAAAAGGTCTTCCTGCATCCGGCTAGTCTGAACTGGAAATCAAGTGTGGACAGCCAATGGCTAGTTCGCCTCCTAAAAATGAAAAGCAAGCACGATCAGCTCCACACCACGTCCAAGTATATTAAAACTGCGCTGCATCCCAACTCATGTGGACGCATTAAGGTCTATGGTAAGCTCTCATTTGAGTTCATTACAGCAAGTGGTGTCAGGCAAAGCTGTCCTCTTTCACATTTCCTCTTCAACTTCGGCAATGATTTGATCATAAAGAACTCAGTCCCAGCACTTAAGGCCGGTCGGAGTGCTCCCAGGATGTTCCCTCAAATATATCGAGTACACAGACGACACAAGTACTTCTTTAGTCTGACGCCATCGTAACTTAAGGTGTGTGGGATAATCTAAACGCTTTAGACCTGTAAAGTGTATAGTGCTGCTGCAAGATTCGATGGGCTCGAACCATTGCCTCAAGCCTTCAGATGAGCCTATTGAGGTTGTTGTCGGGATAGCCAGATTCCTGAAAATAACTTCAGAATCCCCGAAACGGAGACCCTTAAACTCCACCAAAATCACAGTAAGGAAACCGTCAAGCATCTGGGTCAGAAAAGCCAGCTGCCGATTGGACGCTCAAGCAGTCAATCAGTTCAGCAACGGCCGATGATGATGAGTGTTCGGACATGTCATAAAAGTAGCACCCAAGGCCGAACGGGTAGCCTGGATTCAAGGTCAAAAGTGAGCTTCAAAATACCGCAATGCTCTAATAATTTTTGCACTCGCTTGTGCACAATGAAGCTGTTGTGTTCCCTGTTGGTGATTTTTTTCGACACTGAGGGACTTGAGTGGGGATTGTAGTTATCTGCAACCAATTTGTCTGCCTGAGTAGCTGCATCAGCGGAATAAGCTGCATTCGCCAGTGTACATAAAAATGATTACTGAAAGAGTATTTTTGAAGACCACTCGAGAAGGTGAAGAGTGGAGCTAAATGAGATGGGTACACCAAGAATCGAAGTGGTGCGACCATCTTGAATAAAGGAGGATGCACCGACCGCTGGGCTGAATACTTTGAACAACAATACTCGTGGCCATACGGTGCCACTCAATTGGGTCCTACAAATTGAGCGGAACCAGAGAGTGAACCTAGAACCACCCACTGCCTCAGAATTGTATGACTGTATACGTTCTCTCGAGTGCCACCGAGGCTTTGGTCCGGATGAACACCCATCTGCATTCTCCAAAGATGGGGGAGAAGTCTTCAGGCAATGCATCTCCGATTTCCAGATGACTCAGTGATTAAGGCGCAAGCTTACTGACTGGAAAATCCGCGGTTCGAACTCGACCTCTGCATCTCATCAGTTCCTCTCTAGGCTGAGCCAACCTGGTGTAACGGTGGATACTACTGATGGGAGCATGCGAGTAGTATGTTTTCTCGTAAATCCGTTTCGCCTCTCTTGAAAAGTGATATCCATTATGGAATTGGTGGAGTCACATTTGCTTGCATTGGAGCAACAGTCAATGAATATCCAGGAAAGTTCAGGAAGACGCGTTCAAAGAGAAGATGAATATTTAGTTTTTGTAAACAAGCTGCACATGAAGGTTTCGCTTCCCTGTCCAATAGTCCGTAACTGTTCACTTGGCGTTTTCTAATAGATAACTCCGCAGCGAAGGCCTTCTTCCTTTAACTGGTAGTATCTAGGCTCTCGTGCTTCCTTTGGGTGGCACGGCAGCGTTGACCAAATATCCACAGTACGTCAGGTGCTATATAAACGTCCCACAATTTTAGTGCCCGGATTTACAAGGCGCATTCGACTCGGCCGACCGGTCTGTTTTTGTTGGCACGCTTGCCCAGCACGGGCTCCCAGAAATTATGTGAAAATAATACGTTCTTTATATTCTCGAAATTCCGGATGTGAGAGCATGCAGAGAGCTCTCCAAAAGAGGCGTCTGCTGTGAATGCTCACCCTCTCGATTTTTATCGATAAGATGATGAAACGAACACTGGAAGGTATTCAAAACCCTGTTGTTCAAATAGCCTCTGACAAAAATCTTGTCGATCTGGAATATGCGAACGATATCGTTCACGTCTTCGAATGAACTGACCAAGGTCATCCTGTCCTTTGGTATGCACTCTGCAACCACAAAGTGTAAGTTCATGCTCATGGACGGTCACTGAACATGTCACTTACAACCCAGGGGGAGGTACTCGAAGTTATGGAGCGTTTTACGTAGCTTGGAAGCTGTATTAGTTCTGACTGTAGTGTGACATATGAGGTCAATGCACGAATATGCAAGGCTCGAGTCGCATTTGCCAATTCGAGACATCTATGACGTCAAATCGTTACATCTCTGAATCTCAAGAAACGTGTGTATCGGGCTACAGTGCGGGCTGTTTCGTTCCATGGCTGTGAGCAGTGGGACTGAGGCGTCTTCAGGTGCTCGACAATTGTTGTCTCGGAACCATAGCTCGTGTGGGTTGGTGTCGGCGAATCCGTAACGAGACAATTAGAAAGCGAGTTTTGGGTCATGCAACGAGTACCTCCATTGAAGAATGTGTTCAGCACCATAAGCTGCATTGTTTGGGACGTGTCGCGTATGCCGAAGAGAGTGCTCTTTTCCATGCCTAACTCAGGGTGGCGGAAGCAGAGAGGTGGCTACGAAACGTTTGGGTGCTGTCGGTGCTACTCACCAACCAGGATGGGGACCGCGTGATCCTCACTGTGCCTGGTTGAAGACACTGCAAGACAAGGCTGCCGATGTCAATGGCGTTTTTGTTGTCAGTTTCCATCCAGATTGTCTGAAAAAGCGTTTGGAGGTGTAGGCACTTCGGAATGGTAGTAGAAAGCTAGCACTAAGCCCCATCGCTGTCCACCTTTATTCTTTTATTCACGATAAGGCCTTCAAATAAATCATGGTTGCACAGTAGAGAAGTATCAGTGTTAAACAACGATGTCATGCTGTTCATGATTACGTTTGTTGTTGGTTAGCTGAATTCCGCGTCGGTTCCCGCCCGATTCCAGTTTCGCAATTTTGGCGGTTCCGAAGACGCTACGGCTGGTTCTGCTGGGGTTAGCATTGTTTTAAGTCATGCGTAATGATCCCTGCTTAAACGGTTGCCCGTCAGTAGTCACCTATGAGCGGTCTGTTTGGTAACGACTTTGAGTGTCCCGTAAGCGCTCCGATAATCGCTACCTTACAAAGAATTTATTTACGACCCAACAGAGTGTAGATGTGATACACTAGAAACAGCTATTACAACGCTTTGGGCGCCTTGTTGCTGCGGGCTGAGACCTCGGATACTGGTGTAGTTGCCGGAAATATGAATACAACAGGATATGCCCTATAAGCCCGTGGATACCACGCACTGTTTGTATTCACAAACTTGTGTATGGGGGCTCTCGAGAGGTTTTCATACACGCAGTGGTGTCCGACAAAGATGTCCCCTCTCCATTTTAAACTGATGAGGATATGAGGCGGAAACTGAAGGGTGTCCGAAACCCCGGTGTAGGCACTTCAGATGTTTGTGGTAGGCTAGCCATAATGCCCCTACCTTCCCCATCTTTTCTTCTTTCGATATAAAGCTTTACTGAAATAAATCGATATGGCTGTAGAGCAGTGAAACACTGGTGCCCTCCTTTAGTGTTGCTGTCAATGAGGTTCGGTCATACACCTCCAACGGCTTGAGACGAACCCAGATTTCTGATGATCCTGATGTGGTACCTACGCTTAAAGCTCCCCACATCCCAGGGGCTGAATGCGCTTCACTGGATCCGATTCCAGCAAATAGTCCTATTTGAGCTGTTTAGTTGAGCGGCTCACACAATGCACCGCGAAGCGGCAAACAATCTCGCATTAGTATATGCTCCGACAAACGCCAGCTCTGAAGCTGAAAACAACCTCGCTTGTAGGGATTGGTCACCGTTGCTTAGGCCAGCAAGAAGTAGGGATATGGTGCTCCTGTTAGTTTATATGAATCGTTCACATGTAACACCCTTTCGGTGGTATAAATGTTTAGGTTGGCCGATAATAATGGTCGTTCAGCTGTAACACCATTTCGGTACCCAGCTGAAACGCTACCCAAAGGGAACACGAGGGCTAAGATACTGCCCAAGTCGAGAGAGAAGTTGAGATTCACAGGATGAGTTCGAACCATGGACCTTCCGGTCAGTGGACTTGCGCCTTAACAACTGAGCCATTTCAAGGTGATATTTACGGCCTATTCGAGGATGACATTCACCGCACAGATAGTGGACGACGACCTATCCCATTATGTGCTAAACATCACTCGTATCTAGCCAGCCCAAAATTTCAGCACAAGCGCCGACACCATCAACTGCAAACCAAACTTGTACTCAAGAAGACTATTCAGTAATAAGCTACCGGTTTGGATTTACGATACAAGATTGTCGCTCACTTCGGAGTATACGATTCGACTCCAGGCACGACATTGTGCGGGCACGCGTATCCATCCACTTTCCCCCGGGAGAATCCGGTTGGTGCAAGACCATTCGGTTCCCCACCTGTGTCTTCGTAACCCAGCAATGCTGAAGTGAGTTGGATGAACCCCCCCCCAGAACCAACCTACTCAAGAAGACTATTCAGTAATAAGCTACCGGTTTGGATTTACGATACAAGATTGTCGCTCACTTCGGAGTATACGATTCGACTCCAGGCACGACATTGTGCGGGCACGCGTATCCATCCACTTTCCCCCGGGAGAATCCGGTTGGTGCAAGACCATTCGGTTCCCCACCTGTGTCTTCGTAACCCAGCAATGCTGAAGTGAGTTGGATGAACCCCCCCCCCCAGAACCAACCGGACACAATCGTAATAATGGAAGGCGACCGGAAAGGGTGAAAGAAGCCAGGCGCACAGCTTCTGAGACCTTTTGTCCAAGGTCCTTTGCACACTCCAAAGAATATTGGATCTCATCAGGATCGGCAGCCCGGACTAAGACCAGAAAAACTAACCAAACAATCATGACAGAACACGCGGGCGCCTAAAACACCGAACAGTGAACAGCCTACAGA